AGAGAGAGTAAGATGACGCACAGAAATGCTTTTCTCAAGTCCCAAGTGCATGCTGGAAGCAGGCTGCAACAGATCTCGGAACTTCCAAGCAGCCAGAGCTAAGAGGGAGATAAGACAGCGGGGATGCCTGCCATGGAGACCTGCAGGAATTTCCCCCAAAATCCTCAGAAAGATGCAGCGTGACTCAGAGTTAGAAAGGAACAAATAAATGCATGTTCCATGTCTCACTAGTGGTTTGGTTACACAAATGACTGCATTTGTCTAAACTCACCGAAGAGTGCACTTAAGATTTGTGCATTTTACTCAGCAAACTTTACCTCAAAAAGAAAAGAATTATAAGCAAATATAGTTACTGATATGCCTGCTGAAGTGTTTAGGGGTACAGACATCACAGCTTACTTTGAAATGCATCGAAAAAAGTCATGAGCCGAAACAGGTTTGGCTCAGTGGGTAGAGCGACTGCCTGTGGACTGAAGGGTCCCAGGTTTGATTCCAGTCATGGGCATGTACCTTGGTTGTGGGCACATCGCCAGTGGGGGGTGTGCAGGAGGCAGCTGATCGATGTTTCTCTCTCATCAATGTTTCTAGCTCTCTGCCCTCTCTCCTCCTCTCTGTAAAAAAATCAATAAAATATATTTTTTTAAAAAAAGTCATGAATTGCCACGTGGGAAGGAAGACTAGAGGGATTGACATGCAATGAAGCACGTGTAGTAAAACAGTGGTGGGCATGAAGTGTGGGCTGTACAATTCTCTCAACTTTCTGTGTTTGAGTATTTTTAAAAAATATATATTTTATTGAGTTTTTACAGAGAGGAAGGGAGAGGGATAGAGTGTTAGAAACATCGATGTGAGAGAAACATCGACCAGCTGCCTCCTGCACACCCCCTACTGGGAATGTACCCACAACCAATGTACATGCCCTTGACCGGAATCGAACTTGGGACCCTTCAGTCCGTAGAGCCAAAAACCGGTTTTGGCATTGAGTATTTTCTTAATAAAAGGTTGGAGGCTCTAAGAAATGAAGCAGACTCCTAGTGGTGATTGTGGGATAGGTGGAGGTGGGGGAGATCATAGAGGAGGGTAAATGGTGATGAGGAAAAACTGAAGGGGACTTTGAAAGTTACCATCAACACCTCAACACCTGAGCTTTGTTCCCAGAGACAGAGCCAGCCGAGCCCTGGGCACGGGGGCGGTGGGCAGAGCTGGGGCTCTCGGCTGCAGAGCTCTGGCCTCAGCAGGGACAGAGAGGCCTGGCTCCTGCACAGCCCGCCGCATGGCAGGATTCTGTCATCTCCCAGACAGCGCACTCCCGTCATGGAAACTTCTCGTCAGGCGTCAAGGAGCAGCTCCCCTTGGAGGCCTGTGCCTCGCCAGAGTGCTCTTATAAAGGGCGGAGTTGGATTTTATTCTTGACAGTAGGGTGGCGTAGACGATGGGGCTTGTCTCTCTGCTGGCACTGCGTTAGGTATTTACATGTCATTTAATGTTTAAGTGACCCTAGGACACAGGTACCACTGTCATTCCCATTTATATGTGAAAAATGACTTAGGAAAGTTCGGTAACTTGGATATAACACTCAGCTGGCAAATGCTGAGCTGGGATTCAAGGTTCTATTTGACTCCAGAGGCTTCCATCTGCCCTCTTCTGCTCCACAAGCTGCTGCCCCACCCCTTCCACTTTCTTTCCTACCTTCACTCCCACCCCCACCCCCAAAGGCCTGAGCTTTGTCTCCTGGCTTTCATTCCCTTAGCTCTGGGCTAGGCAGGGCTGAGTTGAGCTGCATGGCTGTGTTTATTTGTTTGTTTGTTTTGGGGGGCGCTTAGGGTGAAGGGAGGTAGTAGATGGGGCCTAGAAACCCCCCTGGAAAGAGCAAGACTAGCTCCTAGGGCCAGGGAAGAGCATTACTGGCTCCACAATGTCGGCCAGGAGGTCCCTGAAAGAGCAACTTTCATTTCATAGATGGGAATAGATGGGAGATTCCCTTCCAGAGAGGAAGTGCCTGTCCTTGGATCCTACAGCCCCTTCCTGGCCACATGGAAGTAGGAATTCATTTTCCTGAATTCCCAGTGTCCTTCCCACTTTGCCCCTAGATTCCCTCTGAGGGATCCTGAGGCACGGAGCATGCTCGCGTGGCCCGCTGAGTCCCTGACCTGCACCTCCCCTGTGTCCACACTTGCATGCCTGGGACCCATTAGTGCTCCCCAGGACCCGAGACCAGGCCTTTGGCTCTTACCAGATCCTTCAGAAAACTCACAGGTCTGGGCCCCACAGGGACTGTTGGCAGAAGGGCCTGCAGTTCTGCAGCCCCTGGCAGGGAGGGAAGAGGAAGAAGTTACAGGGGCTCAAGAGCGCCCCTTCCAGCAACACACTTGCTCCTCAGCCAGGCCTGGCCCAGGGACATCAGACCCCACCCAAGAGAGGAGGCCTGCCCTGCTTGCTCAGGCCTCAGGGCCCAAGCAGCCCCCAGAATGTGTATCCGTGGGGGAGGGAGTCTGTAGGGGGAGTCACCCAACTGTGAGGCTCACGTCCTTCCAACCAGAGCCAGGCTCAGAGTCATGGAAGAACAGGATCAGACAGTGGAGGCTGAGTCCACAGACAGACCCCAAGCAGCCCCGGCCATGCCAGGCCAACCAGCAGACCCTCCAACACAAACACTGGGCCCCCGGCTCTGGCTCTGCGAGAAGGGGGCATTTTTCAGAGGTGACATCAGCTCTTAAAGTTTTATGTTTCCTGCCTGCTCAGCCCAGAGCGCAGTCCCCAGAGCCGGGAGCCTGCAGCGGCAGGCACCAGCTCCAGAGCAAACAGCACATCCCTGGCCCCGGGCACCTGAGCAGCCCCACGGCCAGGACAGCCTGTCCCCCAGCCCGCGCACCGAGGACAGACACCAGCGGAGAGGTCTCCCCTGTCGCAGGCACGCCTTGGGGTCTTTGCCCTTTGTCACCTACTCTGCCTCTAGTAAAAGCCTCCCCATCCTTCTGGTAGCAGGTCCAGTGTTCCCTCCCCTGCGAAGCCAGCCCCACCTCCCAGCCCCCACAGCGTCCTGTCTGTCCTCCCATCAGAGGCCTGACCACTGAACCATGTTTACAACCACCGCCCTTACTCTCTGCCCCTGCCCCTCCCCAGCAGACCAGAGCCCCTGGAGGGCACAGGCCCCATTTCATTCTGGTCTGGGGCCTCTTTTAGCATTTGGTGGGGACTCGGGAAGTGAGAGAGAAAGGATGGAGGTGGTGGGGTTACTCAGCAACCCCCATCCCTTCATTGCATGTTTGCTGAGGGGCCAGCCCTGGCATCCACTCCAAGAAAAGCAGTTTCCGCTCCATGACAATGCCCGGGGTGCCTCAGGGTCCAGGAGGAGAAAGCCTTCATCCCCTTTGGCAGTGGAAGGCCAAGGGAGCCCGCTCCAGCCCTAGCTGGGACCCTGGGGTGGGGGTGGGGGTTGTAAGCAGCCCCTGCCTGTGTCCAGGCACCTGCCCCCAGGCCTCCCTCAGCAAATCTCAGGAAAAGTGCCAGGGCGGCAAGGCCTGGAGCTCAGGCGGGAAGTGGTGGAGGAGTTCAGAATGGGTCCAGGTGTGGTACCAGCCTCAGAGCGGAGTCACCTCCAGACCGGTGTCAGGCAACTATCCTGCCCTTGCCGGGGGCCAGGAAATCCATACCCTCCCCCTAACCCCCTCCCGGACAAGGCTGAGGCTGTTGCTGTTTCCCGGGGTGCTGGGAGGATGAAATGACCAACATGTGAAGAGACCTGGGCTGCAGGAAGCACCCAAGAAGTGTTTCCAGAATAATTATTGTGTTATTTAGATTGAACTCACATGACTGAGCATCAAGTAAGTGCTGGCGCTGGGAATGCTGGGTGAGCAAGGCCAGCATGCCCTCACCTCCCAGCAGCCTGCAAGGGGGCAGGGGCACAGTACACACACAGCAGACATGGAAGTGCAGGGCTGGAGGTAAACCCCCAGCACCTACCTGACCTGGGGGTGGGGGGAGGGGTCAGGGAAGGCTTCCTGGGGGAGGGGCTGCTGCTGCCCATAGAGGAGCTGAAGGATGAGTAGGAAGAAATGAATCAACTGTAAAGAGGAAAAGCCCTCCCAGCTGGGAGAGCCACCGTGAGCGTTTGGCTAAAGGCAAGAAGAATGTGGGCTGAGTGAGGTGAAGGGAGCAGGCAGGCCCGGTGAATGAACGAGCGAAGTAATAAATGTCCAAAGAGAGGAAGGCAAGCTGGAAAAACCAACTTTACCTTCAACAGTGAGCTCTCTCTGGTAGCAGGGAAGGGTAGACACAGGGACATATGCCCTCACACACAGATTCCCACTCGATACCTCCGCCTTAAGCTTAGCAGGCTAACGTGTGGCACATCAGGCTCAGAAAGGGTCAGCAGGACCGAGTCACTGCCCCTCTGCCCTGGGAGGGGCCACCTGGATTCCCCTGGACCCAGGGCCAGGCTGCCCAGCTGCTGACTCAGGCCGCACTGGCCAGCTCAGCATTCCTGCCCGCCCTGCTGAATGGGGTTATTGAAGCTCTTTGTACGGGGACAGGCCACTGACCACGCCCCCAACCAGAGCCTTCGGCAGGGCTGTGGGCTCTGCTGTGAGGGGCCAGTCTGAGAGCCCTGCGGCCACCAGGTGCTGTTCTGGTAAGCTGGCCAGGCATCAGAGAGGGGGTCCCAGTGGGAGGGAATTGCCCTGACCCTCAGAACAGAAGGCCCCACGGAGGTGAGAATGGGCGGGGGGGGGGGGGGGGGGGGGGCGGGTATCCATCTCTCTGTGTGCACAGTGTGCAGCTGGGGGTGCTGCATTGGCTCTCTGGTTGTGCTGCCTGCCCCATCACATTTCTCTAAAGAAAGATGGCTTCCCGTTAGCCCCAGTCTCTCACAGGGTGTGGGCTGGGTCCCCCCATATCGCGCAGGGAGTGGGGCTCATTGGGGGCCTTCCCCATCCCAGCCAGAGCTCCATTTCCTCCTGAGTGCTTCACACCTGCAGGAATTACAGCTGGTGGCCAGCCTCAGCCTCCGCTGCTGGGCCCCAACTGAGCCAGCGCTGCTCTGGATAAAGCACCCTCCCTCACAGCCTCCTCCCCTCCTGGCCTTTGCCCCAGGCTGGGGCCTGGGCCCCATCCCTGGCTGTGTGGGCCTACACCTGCCAGGTGTGCTTTTCCAGGAATGGAGGAGGGCCTGTAGCCATGAAGCCAGTGCTATTTGTCACCCTTTGGTGGGTGCCGCTTCTGGTGTCCGGGCTGGGATCCCCGGAAGAGGCCTCCTTCTACTACGGAACCTTCCCACCTGGTATGTCCATCCCTCTGCTGGTATGTCTGTCTGTCTGTCCACCTGTCCACCTTGACTGGCTTGCCAAAGGGTTTGGTGTTTTAGCTTCCTGACAAGTAGAATGTGGAAAGTAACTCCATACAGTGTTCTCAAGTAAAAGAAGTTCCTAACAGATTTGTTTAGAGTTACTATGCAGACAGCATGCTATGAGAGCTAACATTGTGCAAGGAAGTGTTTAATGCATTCTGTCTCCCCCACCCACCTACCCACTTCCTCTCCTAGAGAGGGGGAGGGGCGGCCCTGCAGCTGGGAGCACAACCCCTTGTCCCAAGCTGGACAGGGAGTGGGAGCCCCTGAGCCCGGCCTGGGGTCTCTACTTGCAGGATTCTCCTGGGGTGTGGGCAGCTCCGCCTTCCAGACGGAGGGCGCCTGGGACCAGGATGGGAAGGGGCCCAGCATCTGGGATGCCTTCACGCACAGCGGGAAGGGCAAGGTGCTTGGGGAGGAGACAGCGGATGCGGCCTGTAATGGCTACTACAGGGTCCAGGTGAGCGAAGGGTGTGTGTGTGTGTGTGTGTGTGTGTGTGTGTGCCGGAGCACGCAGCTAGCTGAGAGGTGGGAAGGGATGTACTGAAGGAGCCCAGGTAACAATACAACCCGGTGCTCTGCTAAACACTCCCACCAAAGGGGATGGGGCGAGTGGGGACTGGGGACTGGGTGTGTGGGCAGGATGAGGAAGGCACATGTAGGAGGAAAGGAAAGCAGGGCCCTACCTGAGTCAGGGCCTTGGTGTGGTACCTGAGTGAGGGGGAGCCGAAGGGCAGATGTGATGGCCCAGGGCCCACAGGCCACAGTGGCCTGAATCCCTGATCCCTGCATGTGCATCAGCCCCTGTGGAGGGAGCGGGACCAAATCATCCTCAATCCCTCTGCTCTGCACCCACTCCTCTTCTCTGGATTGACTTTTTTGGGGGGAACCCATCACCCCAGTTCATTAGGAATACCCTATGGCCCTCTCAAAGTGCCCCATACCCTGCCATTTATTTGACTCCATCCCCAGGAGGAAGCAGGGGCAGGTGGTAGGTACCACACCTATTGTATGGATAAGGAAGCAGCTGCTTCCTCACCCACCAGGAGTCTGGACACAAGAAAGCCTTGGCCTGAGTCCCCTCAGGGTGGCCCCTACCTGCCCACCCCCGGATCCCAGGCAACCCTGCCCTGCCTCCCGCCCTGTCTGCACAGGAGGACGTCATGCTGCTGAGGGAGCTGCACGTGAACCACTACCGGTTCTCCCTGTCTTGGCCCAGGCTCCTGCCCACTGGTGTCCGAGGTAAGCTGGGCAGCGCCTTCCCCGCCCAGGCGTGGCCCCTTAGGCCATGCAGAGGAGGGTCTTGGGGAGGGAGACCACGGACACGGTGTCTCCTGGCAGCAGCTCCCACAGCTGCAGGTAGCTGGGCTCCCAGGAGTCTACATCACCCCTTTGAGGTTCCAGTGCTGGTGGCCTGCAGTGCCTTCAGCCCTACGAATGCTGCGCCTCAGAAGGCTAAGGCCACGGTCCTTTCTTGTGAAGCCCCCTTTTGTCTCCCCTTCAGCTGACCGGGTGAACGAGAAGGGAATCAAATTCTACAGCGACCTCATCGATGCCCTTCTGAAGAGCAACATCACCCCCATCGTGACCCTGCACCACTGGGACCTCCCGCAGGTGAGGGCTGCGCAGGCTCAGAGGCAGCTCAGCGCGGCAGTGGGGGGCCTGATCTGGGACCCAGGGAGGCAAGGCGGGGGCACAGCCTGGGGCCCAGACAGAAAGATGGGAAGGAGAGAAGAAATCTCTCTGACGCACCGTGGCTGGGCGGTCGCTGGCTTCACCGCTGTTTGTAGTAAGTGATTAACTGCGGGTTTTGAGGTTTTCCAGAACATTGGTCCTGAAAACAACAAATCAAACTATAAAGGGGAAAAACATCTTTTTGAGTAAGATCTGATGACATGCGGTAATGAACAAGTTTGTTTAGCCTTTTTCCCCGGTTTGTTTGAGCCAGCGCCATATGTGCTCACATAGGAAGCCCCAACCCCTCCCCATGCAGTGTCCATGAAGTCTGAACACGCTTACGAACATCACTGTTAGACATCCCTGTTCACTCAACAGGGCCACCCGGAGATGACAGCCCAGCTAGGGGAGGGGCCGTGTATGTGACCCTGTGACGCAGGGTGGTGGGAAGTCGGAGGAGAGAGAGAGACATGGCCTCGGGGAGGTGCTGGGAGAAGGAGTGTGATCAGTGCTTTGCAAAGCTGGGGCATGAAGTGGGTGGGAGGAGGGGTGTTCTGGCTAGAGGGGCACAGCAAGGAGCTGGGAGCAGCTGGGCAAGTGACACGGTTAGAGTTTGCGGAGCAGGCTGGAGGGGGCAGGATAGAGATGGGAGGGGCAACTTGCAAGGCCCCAGCTGCCAAGCTGAGGCGACTGGGTTGGTTCCGTGGGAGGGGAAGTCTCTAAGCTGGGCTGGGCGCAGAGAGCAGCCTTTAGGCAGATGAACTGGAAACCATCCCCAGCCCCGTCCTTGGTTGGTTACCTACCCGTTAGCATCCCCTCACACCACCAGGGAGAGCTGCTAGGCGGCACTGATGGCAGGCCGAACCCTGGGAGAGCCTGCCCTCCCACAGACCCTCTGGCGGGGAGAGAGCCCTCAGCTGAAGGAAGCGGAGTCCTCTCGCATAACAGGCTCCTCTGAGGTTCTGACAGCGCACGGCCCTCAGAATCCCAAGCAGAGCTTTCATGCCCAGAACCTATTTCTTCAGAATGTATGTTTAAGATTATTTCCCCATGACCAGACTTCTATTCCTTTGGCAAATTTTCTTAAATACTCACTCTATCAAGTTCCTTTGAAGCATGAATCTCAAACCTTCCTTGCTCCCAAGGTACATAACACAGTTCATCTCCACATTTACGTTTCATGATCCATCACTGCCATCATCTTCAAGTCTTTTTTTTTAAAATACATTTTATTGATTTTTTTACAGAGAGGAAAGGAGAGGGAGGGTTAGAAACATCAATCAGCTGCCTCCTGCACACCCCTTACTGGGATGTGCCTGAAACCAAAGTACACGCTCCTGACCAGAATCGAACCTGAGACCCCTGAGTCTGCAGGCAGATGCTCTATCCACTGAGCCAAACTGGTTAGGGCCATCTTCAAGTCTTAAATGCTCAACACCCTGCATCATTGCTGCCCTCTCCTCCGAACATCCCCTGTAGCTGCAATTGCTGCTTCTCCCACACACTTGGCCAATCAGCTCCAAGTCTTTTCTGAGGACAGACCCTTGGGGCACCGGCTCCTCTCTGCACCCCTCTGTTCACAGCTGCTCCAGGTCAAGTACGGCGGGTGGCAGAATGCGAGCATGACCAGCTACTTCAGCGATTACGCCAACTTGTGCTTCGAGGCCTTCGGGGACCGGGTGAAGCACTGGGTCACGTTCAGTGATCCGCGGGTAAGCAGGGCCCCTCTCCCAGTGAGAAGACCCACCTCCCGGGCCAGAGCGCTCCCTGCCACTCTCACAGGCCCCTCCGGTCCCCCCTTGCCCTCCCTGTAGACGATGGCAGAAAAGGGCTATGAGACGGGCCACCACGCACCAGGCCTGAAGCTCCACGGCACAGGCTTGTACAAGGCGGCGCACCACATCATTAAGGTGAGGCGGGTCTTTCTGGGAGGGAAGTCTGGGTTCAGGGTGGGGGGACAAGCCCCAGGGTCAGCTCTGCACGCCCCACCTCGGAGCCAGCATCTTCCATAGCACTTTCTCACCATCCACTTTCCTTCCGTGAGGACTGACCGGAGTGTCCTGTCATCCAGTGCTCTGCGGGACACTGAGGCCGGGATGGTGGGTACTGGCTGCTCGCTAGGGCTTACATCCAGCCAAGGGATGGAGTGCGTGCCTGGGAACATTTGTCCCCTGTAGGTCTAAACTGTCTTGTGTGGGGTGATGACAGAAGTGGGGGAATGACAGTGAACGAGAGGCTAAAAACTTCCATGAGTGAGCAGAAGTACCTGGAGGACAGTTGGTGAAGGACACTAGTAAGTTACGAGTACTCCCCTGATGGCATGGATTTCAAAAGGCCTAGGGTTTTGTTTTTTTCTTAAATATATTTTTACTGATTTCAGAGAGGAAGAGAGAGGGAGATATAGAAAAATCAATGATGGGAGAGGATCATCAATCAGCTGCCTCCTGCATGCCCCACACTGGGGGTCCAGCCCACAACCTGGGCATATGCCCCAACCGGGAATCGAACCATGACCTCTTGGTTCATAGGTCAACGCTCAACCACTGAGCCACCCTGGCCTGGCAAGACCTAGGGTTTTTGAAGGAGGGAGGAGAGATGGCTTAGAAAACAGCAATAAAGAGCAACTGTGAATATTGAAAAGGCAGAGCTCTGGAGACATCAGTGGGTAACTGGGAAAGAGTATAGTCAGGAGGTAGGCTGGCACAAATTTAATCCCATTTCTCAAGATTGTTCCAGGTGGTATTTTCTTAGCTTCCTGGGCTTGGTATGAGAAAAATACTGCCTATTACCCCAGTGGACAACCTGGAACATGAGAAGCTTTAGCAAAAACCTTAGAAATAAAGACACATAGTGGTGGTTTATGTGTTTATGCCAGATTTAGACCTAGTTTCCTGTATCGTACAAAGAAAGTGCCTCTGGAGGTCAGGGAATGGAAGACTAAGGGTTGGGATCATCAAGGCTAGACTCATGAAAATGATGGGACTCCACCTGGGTCTCCAGAGTTAGGAAGGAAAGGGAGGCTAGAAATGGATGGGTCAGACCCCTCTGATGAAGTCCTTCCTCTTTTAGGCCCATGCCCAAGCCTGGCATTCGTACAACAGCACATGGCGCAGCCGGCAGCAAGGTGAGCTGCACCACCACGCGTGCCGAGAGCCAAGTGCCCGGAGGAGTGCTGGTCATTCCTGACTGCCACCCCTTCTCTCTTTTCCTTTAAGGGCTGGTGGGGATTTCATTAAACTGCGACTGGGGGGAACCAATGGACCCGGATAATCCCAAGGACATAGAAGCTGCCGAGAGATATCTCCAGTTCTGCCTGGGCTGGTTTGCCAACCCCATTTATTCTGGTGACTACCCCCAAGTCATGAAGGAGCGTATCGGTGAGCCAAGACCCATTTTAAAACTGCAGATGTCACAGTGACGGTACTGAACTCAGGCGAAATGAGCAAAAGGCAGGGGGGTAGAGCACCCTGGGCTTGGGTGAGGCCTTCAAGAAATGAGAACTGGTTATGAGAATTAGAGCAGCGTGTGTATGTATGGGAGGGGGCACTCAAGCAAATCCCAAGAAGTTCAAAACCTAGGAGGAAAATGTAGCAGTTCTCCAGGCTGCTCTCTTTTCTGTCCTGCTATCCTGCCTTTTCCTCCCCATTACACTCCGTTTTAACTGCAGTGAAGTAGAAGAGAGAAATCAAAGGCACAGTCATGGGCGGTGTCAGTTCTATTGCCAGTTCTGTCACTTGAGAAATACTTTCCAAGCTCTGGTTTCCAGTGTCAGAGAGAATAAAGATAGGAACAGCGCACAGGGCCTTATCAGTTTGGATGCTTTTAGGTGCCACATAACAGAAAACTCCAACTAAAGTCACTTGGGAAGTGGGGAATTTATCATCACCTGAGGCTAGAGAAGGATGATCCAGGGCTAGGCTAAGCCAGCCCTCAGGGACGTCTCTGAGAACGCAGCTCATTCCACCTTTCCCCTCGGCGCCACCTACTACTCCCTGTGCCACAGACCAGAGCTCCAGGCATCACACCTCTACTCGTCAGCATGCAGGGGCAGAAAAAAGGAAATAGCTCTGTCATATCTGTTTTAAGAACAAGAATCTTCCCAGGAAACAGCTTTCACCCAAAGCTGCCCTCACTTCATGCCTTAAAGTGCCCTAGGCCACCAGAGGTAGGAACTCAGAAACTGAGGAGGGACGTAAAGGACATGGCGCCTGGGGAGAGGGCAAGGAAGACAGGCCTGGGACTCCAGGGCAAGCATCCGCAGCCTCTGGCCATAGGAATGTAAAAGTATTATCTCTGTGCTTAAGAGGTATCAGCCCACACTTCACTATAAAAAAAGAGACAAGGATGGCATTGAAAGAGGTTACAATCTTTTGTAACAAGGCTATCCTGGATGTTTGAGAACTGCCAACATGTCAAAACTTTCTTTTTCTAAAGCCCCGTTCATAAAGCTCATCTGATTCCAACTCTGCCACTAACCAGCAACTGGACAAGGTGCTTCGCTTCTCTGGGTGTCAGTTTTATCATGAAATGAAGGATCAGCAAAATAGTCTCTAAAAATCTCTTGGTGATAACAATCTTGTGACACACCTATACACACACACACACACACACACACACACACACACACGCAAAAGCTTGGGAATGATCCCATCAAGATGCACAAGAAGCCATAACCAGTTTGGCTCAGTGGATAGAGCATCGGCCTACGGACTGAAAGGTCCCGGGTTCGATTCCAGTCAAGGGCATATACCTTGGTTGTGGGCACATCCCCAGTGGGGGGTGTGCAAGAGGCAGCTGATCGATGATTCTCTCTCATCAATGTTTCTAACTTTCTATCCCTCTCTCTTCCTCTCTGTAAAAAATCAATAAAATATATTTTAAAAAAAAAGATGCACAAGGAAAAAGCACTCATGACCACAGTGTTCAGGTTCTTGCGGCACATCCACATCCACAGCCACTCACTCTCTTGTGACCCCGAGGGCATTGCAGGAGCCACACAGGATTGCGCCGAAAGCCAAATTAGTTATTTGTCATAGAGCAGCTTTCTTGGGCTTAAGGCCAATCATCCCAGACCCTACCAACTCCATCTTTGTGATAAGTAGAACTGGGCTGAAGTTTTCTGTGGAAGGAAGGGTCCTCTGAGCATTTTCTTTAGTAGTGAAAGCATCTGCTTGAAATCTTATTCACAAATTACTTCCAGGCTTCTCAAACACCTTTTTATTCACAATAAACATATGAACAAAGTAATTCTATACCAGTGCTGACCAATAGAACTTTTGGTGATGACAGAAATTTTATGAATAATGTATATATATTTACACACAGATATATGATATATAGATACACATTACACACACACGCACACACACACACACACACACACACACACATAATGTATATCTATGCTATCCAATGACAGCCTATAGCCATTTGTCCACTAAAATTAGAAGTTCAGTCCTTCAGTGTGACTGAATTAAAGATGCAGTCACAACCTGGCCAGTGTTGCTCAGTAGCGCATCGGCCTGTGCACCAAAGGGTTGCAGATTCAATTCCCAGTCAAGGGCATGTACTTGGGTTACAGGTTCAATTCCAGCCCCAATCAGGGTGCATGGGGGAGGCAACCAATCCATGTGTCTCTCTCACATGGATGTTTCTTTCTCTCCCTCTCCCTCTCCCTCTCCCTCTCCCTCTCCCTCTCCCTCTCCCTCTCCCTCTCCCCCTCCCTCTCCCCCTCCCTCCCCCTCCCTCTCTCTCTCCTCTCTTTTAAAAATATATTTTACTTGCTTTTTTACAGAGAGAGAGGGAGAGATAGAAACAATGGGTCAGCTGCCTCCCGCACACCTCCCACTGGGGATGTGCCCGCAACCAAGGTACATGCCCTTGACAGGAATTGAACCCAGGACCTTTCAGTCCACAGGCCAGCACTCTATCCACTGAGCCAAACCGGTCAGGGCCCACTCTCTCTTAAAAAGAAAAAAAAAAATCAATGTATGTGTCCTGTCCAGATATCGAACCCACAACCTTGGCATATCAGGACAACGTTCTAACCAACTGGGCTACCAGGCCAGGGTGTTTCAAATTTTTCTAAGTACAAGATAGTACAAAGTGAAAAGTCAAGCTTCTGTCGCTCCCCCTCGCCACCACTCCCATCCTCCCCAGAAGGAAGCACAGTTCTAGGCATGGATTGTACATGTGTGAGCAAAGCACTACTGCTAGATGGTACTTGCTATCATAGGCAATGCTCTGCATCTTTGTTTCATTTAAACATGTATATGAACATTCTTTCCATATTGGTATACAAAGTACTGCCTCATTCATTCTAATGGCTGCAGCTGTACTGATACCCCACCGTTTATTTAACCATTCTCTCCTGATAGACATTTAGATTGTTTCTAACCTTTTGCTACTCAATCACAGTGAAGATCCATGTACATATATCTTTTTACAAGTGTGAATAAAATGTAGGATAAACAGATTTATAATTGATCAGTGAAAGGACATATACCTTTATAATTATGAAAGCTATGACAAAATTTCCAGCCCTGGCCAGGTAGCTCAGTTGATTAGAACAATGTCCCGATATGCTAAGGTTGTGGGTTCCATTCCCAGTCAGGTCCTATATAAGAGACCAAAATGCATAAATAAGTGGGACAACAAACCAATGTATTTCTTTCTCTCAAAAAAAAAAAAAATCAATTACAAAAATTTCTAACATAGAGATGTACCAGCTTACCCAACAGCAATGCCTCCAACTCCCACCGGCCTTCCTGTTCCCTTCCCAGGGGCAATTAAATTACCAATATTTGATGTAAGGCATAATATAGGAATCCAACACTACTATTTTCCAGATGGCTACACACCTATCAACATAGCACTTACTGAGTAACCTATGGAAGTATTACTTTTAAGCAATACAAACTTTTAAATTTTTTGGATCGTATTCAAATGTCAAAAATTCCAGTTTGAAAAGCTAAGGTTACATTTTTTTTCCACACAAATGAATCCCAAAGCCCAGGATCTGGATAAAGGTTTTATGTCAGCATGCCAGTATCATCATGGTACAAAAAAGTTTTTGTGAGAATCATTGTTAATTTCTTTCTCTCAACAGGAAGGAAGAGTGCAGAGCAGGGCCTGGATGTGTCGAGGTTACCTGTGTTCTCACTCCAGGAAAAGGGCTACATTAAAGGCACATCGGATTTCTTAGGATTGGGTCACTTTACGACTCGGTACATCACAGAAAGGAACTACCCCTCCCGCCGGGGGCCCAGCTACCAGAGCGATCGTGACTTAGTGGAACTGGTTGACCCAAACTGGCCTGACCTGGGGTCTCAGTGGCTACGTTCTGTGCCGTGGGGATTTAGGAGGCTCCTCAACTTTGCTCAGGTGATTATAATGTTAAGCTATTTACTGGTAAAAGGCATTTCTGACCCGAATTCATGGTCTTAGACCTTAAGCACAGGTGCTTACATTTAAAATTAACAACACACTGCCGAAACCGGTTTGGCTCAGTGGTAGAGCGTTGGTCTGCGGACTGAAAGGTCCAGGTTTGATTCCGGTTAAGGGCATGTACATTGGTTGCGGGCACATCCCCAAGTAGGGGGTGTGCAAGAGGCAGCTGGTCGATGTTTCTCTCTCATCGACGTTTCTAGCTTTCTATTTCTCTCCCTTCCTCTCTGTAAAAAATCAATAAAAAAAAATATTTAAAATTAACAACACAAAACAAATGCAGTTACTCATACTTCAGAGGCTAATAATAATAGACCTTACAGACTCATGCCTACTATAAATAAGCATTTCAATGTATATAACTGTAGTGTGAAGTCTTATCCCACATTAGTTATTTTGCTGCCCTCTCACCTGCAATGGAATATGTGGAAAGAATAAGATGTGAATATATTCTTTCTACAATGATTTATTGAGAAAAATATTTTTTCATATGAACTTGGCGTCTGCTTGCATTTCTCTAAATAAATGTGCGAACTGGCATTTACTAAACACTAAACACACTCGAGTAAAATATGGCAGGCTTGAACATGTGTGTCAATAGGTACCTCATACTCAGAAACCCACCTGTAAGTTGGACTTTTTAAAGATATTTGTTACTATGACTCACTTTCAGACTCAATATGGTGATCCTCCCATATATGTGATGGAAAATGGAGCATCGCAAACATTACACTGTACTCCATTATGTGACAAGTGGAGGATTAAATACCTTAAAGGATATATAAATGAAATGTTAAAAGGTGAGATACAAACCAAGACTGTCTTCACACATTTTTCTATTTAACTTGAACAAAATGTGATAATACGCATGATTGACTAAAACTTGTTTCTAAATCTCATTATCTTCATATTACTTTTCAAGTAAGTGTAATACATTAAATATGGAATAAAATGTCTTTGCAGCTATAAAAGATGGTGCTAACATAAAAGGGTATACTTCCTGGTCTCTGTTGGATCAGTTTGAATGGGAGAAAGGATATTCAAATAGATATGGATTCTACTATGTCGAATTTAACAACAGAAATAAGCCTCGGTACCCAAAAGCTTCAGTTCAATATTACAAGAAGATTGTCACTGCCAATGGCTTTCCCAATCCGAGAGAGGTAGGACTAACCCACGTCATTCATTTTGGGTTTTAGAAGACCTGGGCAGCTGGGCACAGCTTGGCAAGCACCTCTCCCCTTTCCTCCATGAAAAAGAACAGGGGTGTGTGGGGCATGGCCTCTCGTCTCTGACCCTACCTCCCACAACCTCTTTGCTCATTTGCTTAGAACATACATTAAAATCAATCCTAACGGGCAGAACATTAAGGGCAGACTATGATAATGTAGGAGTCTTGTTTGCTTTAGGTTGTATTAGTCAATAAAGACTTTAAGTCAAATGTTCTTCTAAATGTTAATAAATATTACGAATTCTTTAAGAGACATAAAAAGTCAAGTAAGTCATATGTTCATTTCTTTTCCCACCAAATGGCAGTCATAGAGATGCACTGGTTCCAAAATGAGATTAAAAATAATTAAATATAATAATCCTTTAAAACATTTTCAATAACATAATTTTTTTCTATCAGCTCTTTTTGTTGCTATATCTGACAGGGAATAGAAAATGTAATTTATAAAAATAATCTTAATAAAAGTAATTTTTACAAATTTCACTTAGTTACTAACTTTCTTTTAGGGTGACCCCAGGAAGATGTGGAAGCAGTGACGGATAGCTATCAGGCACTCTCTGGTTTTGCATCACTAGGAAAGCACTAGATTATAAACTCCTTAAGAATAACGACTGCGGCCGAAACTGGTTTGGCTCAGTGGATAGAGCATCAGTCTGAGGACTGAAGGGTCCCAGGTTCCATTCTGGCCAATGGCATGTACCTTGGTTGCGGGCACATCCCCGCTAGGGAGTGTGCAGGAGGCAACTGGTTGATGTTTCTCTTTCATCCATGTTTCTAGCTCTCTATCCCTCTCCCTTCCTCTCTGAAAAAATAAAAAATAAGAAAAGAATGACGACTGAGTTTTGATCCCTCACAATGACACACATAGGTATTTAATTAATGTTAACTAACTTAATCTACAAGCAGACTAAAAACGACATTAATTACCAATTGGCTTTTTATTAGGTGGAAAGTTGGTACTTCAAAGCCTTGGAAACTTGCTCTATCAACAATCAAATGCTTGCTGCAGGTAAGTATCTTTTAACTCTTTCCTTTGAGAATTAAGCTACATAATTATATAGATGACATTGCCAAAATCTCAAAATGTGGACCTACCCTATGTCAATCTTCCAAACCACATAGTTAAAAAATAATTTATTTTGCGACAATTAAAATGTCTATTTTATAAGCATTTAAAATCATATTTTAAAAACTTACCAGAAAGAGAAATCTATTCACTTTATTTTTCTTCTCCCTGAATCATATTGTAAACTTATAAATCTATAAGTTTTGTTATAGTAAGCTTTGTGGAAAGAGAGGGAAATTCAACCATTATACCAAATGAATTAAAGAAAAGTCAAAGAACACCATATATTTTATTCACTCATTCAGAAAGTACTCACTTTTAGGAAGGGGGTGTTTTAACCTCTGGGGATACAGCAACGAACAAAAAAGTTCCCTGGCCTTATAAAAGGCTTTTTTTTTTTTTTTTTTAATAAATCTTTATTTTTCAGATTATTACAAATGTGATCCTCTTCCCCCCCTCAATTACTCCCCTTCACCAGGTTCCCACCCCACCCTCTGTCCTTTCCCCATCCCCCATTGTCCTCATCCATAGGTGCACAGTTTATGTTCAGTCTCTTCCCGCACCCCCGCTCCCCTTTTCCGAGAATCGTCAGTCCACTCCCCTTCCATACCTCTGATTCTATTATATTCACCAGTTAATATTGTTCATCAGATTTTTTAATTCCCTTGGTTTTTAGATTCACTTGTTGATAGCTACGTATTTGTTGATCATAATTTTTATCTTTATCTTCTTCCTCTTCCTAAATAACCCCCTTCAGCAATTCATATAATTCAGGTTTGGTGGTGATGAACTCTTTTAGCTTTTTTTTATTTGTGAAGCTCTTTATCTGTCCTTTGATTCTGAGTGATAGCTTTGCTGGGTAGATTATTTTTGGCTGTAGGTTCTTGCTATTCATCACCTTGAATATTTCTTGCCATTCCCGTTTGGCCTGCATGGTTTCTGTTGAGAAATCAGCTGACAATCTTATGGGTGCTCCTTTATAGGTCACTACCTGCTTTTCTCTTGCTGCTTTTAATATTCTCTCTTTGTCTTTTGCTCTTGGAATTTTAATTATGATATGTCTTGATGTGGTCCTCCTTGGATTCCTTTTGTTTGGGGTTCTGCGGACTTCCTGGACTTGTAAGTTTATTTCTTTCCCCAGGTGGGGGAAGTTTTCTGTCACTATTTCTTCTAGTATTCTTTCGGTATCTTGCTCTCGCTCTTCTGGAATCCCCATAATTCTGATGTTGGTTCGCTTGAAATTGTCCCAGAGGTTTCTTACACTATCTTCAACTTTCTGGATTCTCTTATCTTCTCCCTTCTGCAGAGGAGTGTCCTCTGGCTCTTTTTGTTCTAAATCTTTGTCTTGATTCTTGCGATCTTCCAGTCTGTTTTTAGGACTTTGTATATTTTTTATTTCAGACAATGTTTTCTTCATTTCTTGTTGATCCCTTATTATTTCTAGTTGCTCCCTTTTCATATCCTCATAGGTCTCATTTATTTTATCGGCCTTTTTTAGGATATTATTGAATATCCTTATAACTGTAGTTTTGAACTCAATGTCCAATCTTTTCTTTTCCTCCATCTCCTTCCTTTGTGTCCTTCTTGTCTGCATTTTAGTTGTTTCCCTGATTTGATGGAATAGCTTTGTGTGCTAGATGTTCTGGTAGAGCCCAGTAGCACAGCCTTCCCAGTTACCTGCGGTGGAGTCTTGGTGTAGCCCTTTGTGGGCTGTGTGTGCAGTCTTGTTGTTAAGCCTTGCTTATTGTTGGTATCACTGGGAAGCGTTGATCTCCAAGCCAGCAGTGTCTCAGCTAGGAGGGTTTCCGTACTCTGCTTGAATAGGGCGGGGTCTTGGGGTGGCGCAGACAATCTTTGGTTCCCTGTCAGTCTCGCCTTAAAAAAGTCCTGTTCGTGGAGAGTTTTGGAAGATTGGTTGCAGACGCACGCACCTCTTTGGTAAAGGCGCAGACAAGCTTTGGATTCCGGCCAGTCTCTCCTTAGAGAAAGCCAGCCTCTGGGAGAGCTTCTGTGCTCACCCACAGATAGGGCGGAGTCTCGGGTTGGTGCAGACAAACTTTGTTTTCCCTTCGGCTCCTCCCCAAGTCCCGCAGTAATGGCCTCTGGCTTCACACACCTCCAAGAGATCTCTGCCGGCTGCCTGACAGTCTCTCCTCTCCCTGTCTGGGGCTGTCTATCAGAGCAATAGGGTGATTCTGTTTTCCTCTCGAACAAGAAAGCCAACCACGTTAGCTGTTTGCCCTCTCCACGTGCCAGGAGTAAGCCAGTAGTGAACTCAGCCCGGCCCGCCCTCTCTGCGCGCCAGGAGTAAGCCAGCAGCAATCTCGGTCCGGCCCTTCCTCTCCGCACCGGGATTAAGCCAGCGCCTTTTCTCGTACACAGTTCTCCGTACCTTCACAGTTCCTGAGGTTCAGCGTGCCTTCTCTCTCCTTCCCAGATGGCAGAGCCTCCTCTCAGCTAGCTGTCAGGCGCTTCAGGGCAATGCTTCCCCTGTTTTTCAGTTCTAAATTCAAATTTGTTGTGGTAGGCTGCATTCGGGTGTCTACCCTATGCCGCCATCTTCGTTTCTTCTGTCCAAAAGGCTTTTTTTCTTTTTTGTCTTTGTTTTTATTGACTTCATAGAGTGGAAGGGAGAGGGAGATAGAAACATCAATGAGAAAGAATCATTGATCAGCTGTCTCCTGCATGCCTCCTACTGGGAAACGAGCCTGCATCCCAGGAATGTGCCTTCACAGGGAATTGAACTGTGACCTCTTGGTTCATGGGTTGACGCTCAACCACTGAACCACACTGGCAGGGCAGAAGGCATCATTTCTTATTTTAAAAGCTCAGAGAGGTAGAATAATAAGAAATGCCAACACATATTATTTTTTTCTTTGAATTTTGTCATCTCTTTACAAGGGCAGAGAAATACACTTCCTGTTTTTTTTTGGGGGGGGGAAATATATATATTGATATATATATTTATTTATTTTAATTAATTTTTTAAATTGATTTTAGAGACGAAGAAGAGAGATAAAAACATTAATGATGAGAGAAAATCATTTACTGGCTGCCTCCTGCACACCCCACCCTGGGGATTGAGCCACTCAGGCATGTGCCCTCACCGGGAATTGAACCGTGACATCCTGATTCATAGGTCAATGCTCAACCACTGATCCACTCTAGCCAGGCTAAAGATGTGTTTTAATGAATACATCTTTAATGTGGTATCAGAGGTGGAAAGTGCTTGACAAAACCCTACCAATTCAGCTATTTTTGTAGGCCAATATACCACTGTGCCCATCCTCTTCCCACATCTAAATAACCAGGCAATATTAAGGATGCATATTCCATTAAACTAAAATAAACTTTTATCATGTACAGACATGATAGAAAATTTGTTGAGCTTATAAGCTCTTTAAGAGCAGGGCCTGTGCCTTATTCACCTTGGTAACCACCAGGTGACTGCATAAAACCTAAAGGCAGGTATAATATCAATGTCCACTACTATATTCACATACATGAAATACACCTAACATTTGACTCTTCAGGAGTAACTATGTTAACTACATTGCAATAAAGAAACTCCTATACCTTTTAAGATATACAGTAACATCTTTGAAAGGCTGGAAATGTTTCCTAAGGATTTTTCTTTCACAAATTCCCCCAGTGAAAATTATAAAACCATGAGCTATAGCTGCTAATATTCTGAGATTAATTATGGTCAGCACAAGTACTAATACACATTTAAGACTTTATTACAATACCTATGGAAGAATCAAATTTAGGCATTCTTTATCCTGTTTTCTGAAATATTTTCCAAATACCTCACATAATCTTTTATAACATTTAATTCTTTAATAGCAAGTGAGAATAATTAGAAAGTGTGATGCCATTTTCCAAGTTTTTCAAGTATAGATAAACTTTCAGGATTAAACTATACTTGCTAAAATAATCACATTCCCTTTTGTGGTGGTGTTCCATTTCAGAGACTTTGCTAAGCCACATGCAGATGGTGACGGAGATCGTGGTACCCACAGTCTGCACCCTCTGTGTGCTAATCGCTGCAGTTCTCCTCATGTTCCTCCTGCGGAGCCAGAGCTGAGCCAGGGTTACTCGTTTTGCAGCTTCATCTTTCAGTAATCTTCCGGCTCTTCCTCCATTTTCTGCTTCAAAAATTTACATTATCTCTATTTCAGGCTCTGTAGTAATTTTTTTCTTTTTGCTTTTTTGGGCTTATGCTGAGATTTAAGAATTAAAAAAAAAAAAAAGCATTTAATAAGTAAAATAAAAATCACCTGTCATCTTACCCTTCTCAAAATTAAAGTTAGTATTTTGCTGTCTAATATGCACCTATTTTCTTTTTTTGAACCTATTTTCATTTTGCAAAAAGAGATGACAGTGTACAAACTGTTTTATAACTTTATTTTATTTTTAAGCCTGTCCAGAAACATAACTTCAATGTAGAAATGAATGCCATTTAAGCATTGTCTTACACATGATGGGTAGTCAATCATCTATAGGTAACAATCCTTTCAGTTTATAAATCCTAAGGCAACCAGAGAAAAGCTTAGGTGGGCACCAAGCAAATGAACACATACACTTTCCTAATTTCAGTATCTCAAAGAAATATAATTAACTTACATATCTTTTATTTAACTAGTTATTTTGCTTTTTAAAATTAGAATTTATTTTATTCTTAACTATGCTAAAATTAATCTCCATTTATCTGAGGACAAAGCATGGCTTAAGAAGGCATAATATCAGGCATTTTACTAATTATCTGATTACTCATTATTTAATGTTGTTTCTGAAACACAAAAACAGCAAGAGAGTAGGAATGCTATTCCATTAATTCTTTTTTTTAAATTTATTGTAAGGTATAACAAATAGTACATATCTCCTTTTCCCCCCCACCCATTGACCCCCACCCTATTAATTCTTTTGGTTGGTTAATACTTTTTCAAATTAAACATTTTTAAAATCGGGTTTAGTCTTACAATTGGGCTGGGATAAAATTGCTTTTAACAATCTTTGTTCTCAATGTCAAACTGATGTACCTGTCCAGTGTTTTTCTCTTCCATTAATATTTTTTAAGTCAAACTCTCTTTCTACTCTATATCCAGCTTTAAGGTACAACAATATTTCCACTAAAAAAAATTGTTTTTGTTTCCCTGGTTTTAGAATTAAACTGACCTAGTAGGTTGACTACAGAAAGTAGACAGGAAATTAAAGACTTACACTGCTCAGTAGCATTTGGTAAGTCTTTTATATGATTACTGATAAATAATCTATATTCCTAATGTATTAAGTCAGCATTTATGTTGTAGGGGGGAAAAACATAAGGTATTTAACACATTACAAAGTATTCAGAGAGAACAAAAAGTGAACATACTACCTGATAGAGGTGCCCACCAGCACACTTCACTTGAAATGCACCTGGCTGCAGGTAACCATGGTAGTAAAGGAGATCCTTTCTTCCAGGCTACTGTTTAATATTGATTCAGAAAAATCTGAAACTAGAAAGATAGTGAAATCAGAATTGTTTACACCCTGCTGACTTTTCTACCATGTATACTGTTGAATTTTACAATAGAAGTGTAGCCTGAATGATGTGTCTTCTACTTTAAGATAATTTGTTAGACAAAAAGCAGCAAGAACAATTCCTTTAAGTAGTAAACACTCTTGGTGTATTGAACACATGACTAAAAAAATTAAAATATAAAGCAGATTTTTTTTAAATTATACATTTTTAATTTGGTTTATTTGTGCCTTATCCACTACAGTTAAATTTTTCCCCATCTTAAACATATATCTCAGAAAAAAATATTCTACCTAGTATTTGTAGTCTTAGGGTTAGACACATATCTGTTTTTTCCTCCTGAAATCTGTTGTATTTCAAAATAAATGTACAATTAACATTTAGATGAGATTATGTGCACTTTCTTGTGGGTCAACATTTTGGTTTCCATATTCTCACCATTATCAACAATCATTTCCTAAACATCCTCTGGGTGAGCAGCACTCTACTGGACACTGTCTTTTCCCCCATTAGCTCCAAATCATTATTCTCTCTTCCCACGGCAAATAAAGGTACATTTTTCTCTCTTACATCTTCCTGTTATTGATTTCAACTGTTCTACTCAAGAGTATCATACCACTAGATGTCTTGAAAAGCTAGTATTCAACCAAAGTGTTCAGTCCAATGAAATAGAAAGTCTAACTTCTTAATTACATGTGACCTTTAGAAAAAAAAATCATTACTGGGCTTTAATATTTATAATCAGGGCTTTGTTTGAAGGTAAATGAGGTCCTCCTTCAATAGTGGGTCTTGTTTTGGGCCAAAGGTCACTGAATCATTTCTAGACAAACACATCAAGAATATATGATGCTGAAACCGGTTTGGTTCAGTGGATAGAGCGTCGATTTGCAGACTGAAAGGTCCCAGGTTCGATTCCGGTCAAGCGCCCGTACCTTGGATGCGGGCACAACCCCAGTAGGGGATGTGCAAAAAGCAGCTGATTGATGATTCTCTCATCGATGTTTCTAGCTCTCTATCTCTCTCTCTTCCTCTCTGTAAAAAATCAATAAAATATTTTTTAAAAAATAAGAAAAAAAGAATATGAAGAGGTTATATCGGGTCTAGTAATAATTAATGTCGTTTTTAAACATTCGTTTAAAATCTTGCTTGGCGTTGACTTGTATTGACATAACCTTCAAACACGTGGTATCTACAAAACGTGTGAAGTGCAATTAACAAGTTTTGCTTGAAAAAGTTTGTGTTTGGTTTGGTTTTTGTTGCAAAACTAGGGCTAAGAAGATGGCGGATGAAGAGCATATTCGGCACTGCATGCTTTACGAGTTCCAATTAGGAAGAAAAGCAAGTGAGGCTGCAAAAAAAATCTGTAGTGCTCTTGGTCAAGATGCAGTTAGCGCCAGAAAATGCCAGCGTTGGTTTGAGAAATTTCGCAAGGGAAATTTTTCGTTAGATGACAAGAGTGGTCGAGGCCGTGTGTCCAATTTTGGTCAAGAAGCTCTTCAAGCTCTTTTGGTGCAAAATCCTCAAATTACCCAACAAGAGCTTGCGACAACTTTAAATTGTTCACAAAAAACAATTTCCAATCAATTGCGTGCACTTGGCAAAGTCCAAAAGTTTGGAAAATGGGTTCCTCATGAGTTGACCGGCAACAACCGTAATCAAAGAGTCACAATTTGCAGTTCGTTCCTCTCTCGTCAAAACCGTTTGCCGTTTTTAGAGCAAATTGTTACATGAGATGAACAATGGGTGCTGTATGTTAATTTGAAAAGGCGGCCTCAATGGTTGGACAAAAATGAGGCTCCGCAGCCCACACCAAAACCTGACTTGCATGCGAAAAAAGTGATGTTGTGTGTTTGGTGGAATTTTAAAGGAATTCTTCATTATGAACTTTTACCATCTAACCAAACCATTACAAGTGCAGTGTATAGTGCCCAATTGGAAAGGTTAGCCCAAGCTTTAAGAGAAAAAGAACCCGCACTGATTAATCGGAAGGGCGTAATTCTTCACCACGATAACGCACGACCACATACTGCAAGAATCACTGCTGAAAAACTGTGCCAGTTGGAATGGGAAGTTCTCCCTCAACCTGCATATTCTCCTGATATTGCCCCTTCCGATTACCATTTGTTTCGTTCTTTGCAAAACTTTCTTCTTGGAAAAAAATTTAATAATGAAGAATGCCTCAAAAATGCATTGACCGAATTTTTTTGCATCAAAATCACAAGAATTTTACAACAGAGGGATTAAAATGCTTCCTGAGCGTTGGGCACAAGTAGTAGAAAACAACGGCAACTATATTGTTGATTAAATTTTGTTGTATTGTTTAAATAAATTCGATTTAAAAAAGTATTAGAAAACAACATTAACTATTACTAGACCTAATATTATCCAAGCCAAAATGAAGTTTGATTGTGTTTCTAAGCACACAATTTCATTTATTTATATACAATTTCTTGAAAAATTTTAATTTCCATAGGACTCATTACACCAATGCATTAGCAAATTGTTTTAACTCTAACATTAAAAAATCACTTTCACTTTTTTTGAAGCGAACTGCATCAAAAAGACTGAAAGAACGTGGAGTATACTTCGCTTATTCACCATCATTGGAAAAAAGTGTTTAATGTTGCATGAATTTCCTCATGACAGAGGTCATTTAATCTTTAAAATTTTTAAACGGCATTTTAAAAAATACATCACATATGGTCATGTGTTTAAAACTTAACTTTTTGATTGGTAAGGTATGTACACATATAATACCTTAATAAAAAAATGAAAAAAAATTTAATTTTTAATCATAAAAGTAATATATCTTAAAAAAACACACACACTAGAAACAACATATGTAGATAAAGTAAACTATTTAAGTTGGTGATTCTTAACCTTAAGTTGCACAAGGGAATTACCTGGAGAACTTTAAATATTAATGATTTCCAGGCTCTACTTCCAGAGATTTCAATTTACTTGATCTGGGTATAAGAACTTTAAACATTAAAAATTCCCCAGATGATTCTAACGTTCAGCCAAAGATGAGAATCACTCCTCTATCTAAGATAACAAAAAATCACTCTTTTATGATTTCTTTTTTTTTCCCCCAGAATAAATATGTTTATATGTAGAGTTTAGGAAAATCATTTAAAATTGGGCACAAGAGCTCAGCAGGTGTGGCTTTGTGGTTGAGCATCAACCCATATACCAGGAGGTCATGGTTCAATTCCTGGTTAGAGTGCATGCTGGAGTTGCGGGCTTGATCCCCAGTAGGAGGTATACAGGAGGCAGCCGATCAATGATTCTCTCTCATCGATGTTTTTATCTCTCTCTCTCCCTCTTCCTTCTTCTCTCTAAAATCAACAAAAACATTTAAAAACATTAAAATTGAGCAAAAGACCTATAACAATAATCTCTATCAGTAAAATTTCATTTTCATTTTCAATTCCTCTAAATAGATTACAAACCATATTTACCAGATTTGTGACAATTCAGATGGTCTACAGGTAGACTGTCACTCAGTTGCCAAACTGTTTTCACTTTTTTTTGGCCACTATTTATTTCCACTCTCCATTTCT